AATCTTCAGAGCTTCTAATTATACAAGGCATTTGAAGCAGCTTTAGCCAGCAAATGGGCGAACCTTTTGGGAGTCAACTGGGGGTTTTTTGGATCTTTGTTTGTCCGTTTCTTATGAAGTACGCACATATGTCGCGCATTGACGTACGAGTAGGATGTCGCCATCCGTGTGAATTCTATCGTGCAAAAGCGTTTCTCAAAAACCAACGATGCATAATTCGAGAGTACGATTCTTGGATGAGATGCTGAAGGAACACAGCTTTTCATCGGAAATGATAAGTACACCTTGAAGAGCATAATAAGCTCGTTTTATGGGTGTAGCACACAGCTTGCCGCAAATCAACGGCCTCTCAAACGCAAAATGTCTGAAGCCACTGACTTATAGAAAGCCAACAGATACGCGACATCATCATCAGCGTGATCCATTGAGAGTAGGACAAACAATGCAATCGAGAGCACATTGAATTAAGTGATTAGATGGAAAAGGGCATTTAGTTGCAATAGTTAGCCATTGCACTAGTGTGTACTGACAATCGAACGTTGGTTGCTCATTATTATTGTACTACTAATCCAAGCACTATTGTCTGAATTTCAACATTAGCCCCCGCTCATTGTTATGCGATCATATAAATTCTGCAATGCGACATATCCTTCAACCAGACATGAAACATCTTTGTATTGTCCTCGCCGTAAGTCCAACAATCTGATGTGGCATTTCCCATTCGAAAAAATCTCCTAAGGTTTTGCCAGCCATAATGACCTTCGACTGCGGAATATCTGAAGGAGACCGCCGTCTCAATGAACTTGTGGCGCACGCTCTTACATTGGTCTGTTCATATTTTCATGCTGCAGATTCTAATCAGTGGTTTCAAACCACATGTCAAAGAATTTTATTCACTTTCAAAAAAATTTTCCTAAGTGATATCGTGCTAGTTCTCAAAGAGCAAACACAGAATCGAGCCGACAGCTTTGACAACGCCAAACAAGCAAAGCTATTGTACCTACCGGCGCGATTTGTTTCAACTATTCCCATCCGTTCTTCAGAAGAAACACTGCTTAGCTGCGCTCAAAGCTAGAAGAATTGCATCTGATGACGGAGACAGCACCGAACCTGACACCGAAGTCGTTAGAGACGAACAGCCTTTCAGGTATGTCACATCCTCTACTTCGAAGATGGTCCCTACTCAGTCGTACATATGTTACAGCACAAATATCACCGGAGACTTTTTGCGGAAATTGGAGAGAGCAAGAGATAAGGTAAGTTTCACATCACTGCTATAAAGATTCGCAAACTCTTCGCGGTTACTAACACATGGTAGCTGGCAAAAACAGTTTATTCTGTTATATTTGGTGTATGATGATAAAATTATGCATAGAACCCATAGGCTTGGAAACGCTACGCTAGATTCCGCCTTATTGTGAATTTTGAACCTGGCTGTTGATTTTCG